TATTTAGAATATTCTGAATGTATTCTAGACTGTAGATGTAGGAATCTAAGACTCTAATCAAGGAGATTATGAAGATTTATAGCTATAATTTCCTAGTTTAGATGCTATATATAGCTATATATAAGTAAGTTGTAATACTTATAAATACATGACAATACAACTAATATTTCCTATTCATATCAATTTGCATGGTATCAGAGCTGGCCTATTTTTTATAAACAAGAAACCCTAACCATTAACCACACTAATTTTTTCCTCCTCACCACCATGTATGAAATTACATTAGATTCTACACCCTTTCTTGTTCATCCATCAACCTCTTCCGAAATCAAGGATTCCGTCTACAAGACAGAATCTTGATGACTTATCTTTAGATTCTCGTTCAGTTCAGATTACCACTATCAAATTGAATGGAGACAATTTTTTGTGCTGGTCTCAATCTGTGCACATGTACATCTGAAGTAGGGGAAAGATTGGGTATTTAACTAGCGAGAAGAAGGAGCCAAACTTGGATGATCCAGCCTATCAAGTTTGGGATGCAAAGAACTCTATGGTTATGACATGGTTAGTAAACTCTACGGAGAAGGATATCAATTTCAATTACATGTGTTATCACATAGCAAAGGAACTTTGGGATAATGTTAATTTAATGTCTTCTAGCTTGGGAAATCAGTCCCAAGTAGATGAAATAATGCTGAAACTTGGAGAAATTCACCAAGTTGAGGACAGAGTTACAAAGTATTTCGATTCTCTAAAACTCTATGGCAAGACCTAGACTTGTTCAATTCTTGTGAATGAAAACCTTGTAATGATTGTAACCATTACAAGGAGAAGGTAGAGGATGACCGGATTTTCAAATTGCTCATGGCACTCAATGTTGAGTTTGATGAGGTTAGGGGAAGAATAATTAGGAGACGATCCCTTCCATTTATTGGTGATGTTTTTGCTGAGGTTCGCCGAGAAGAGTTGGTGGCTGGTGATGCTCGGAAAAAAGCTTTGGGCAGCACAACAAAAAACTCTACATTGGTAGCCATAGACACGCATACAGGTAGAATGACAACAAAGACATCTGATGACAAAAACCATGCTTGGTGTGATCACTGTAACAAGCCAATGTATACCAAGGAAACTTGCTGAAAACTCCATGGGAAACCAAAAAATTGGAAGGATAAACCTGAAGGAAAATTCAAATGAAATCCTACTGCCAATGAAGCTGAGGCAGTTCCTTTCAGTCCAAAACAAGTGGATCATATCCTAAAACCGCTCAAATCCAATTTTAGATTATCTGGTACTCCTAATGCTTCTTTGGCACAAATAGATAGTTATTTAAATGTCTTAGTGTGTTACTCTTTATCACAATCCGCTCCATGGATCATTGATTCTGGGGCATTTGACCATATGACAAGTTTTTCAAATTTATTTCATACTTATGTTCCTTGTTCGGGTCATGAAAAAAATTGTATAGAAAACGGGTCTTACTCACCTATTGCTAGCAAAGGTTCGATTATTTTGTCAAATACTTTATCCCTTAAATCTATTCTACATGTACCAAAACTTGCATGCAGTCTTCTGTATGTCAACAAATTATCAAAAGGTTCTAATTGTAGTGTCACTTTCTTTGATTCCTATTGTGTGTTTCAGGACAAGAATTCAAAGAAGAAGATTGGCAATGGTAGAATGATCGATGGTCTTTACTATTTTGAAGATGAAGTCTCCAAGGATAAAAGACCTCAAAGACTAAGTAGTATCAGTTTTATCCCTGTTAAAGATAAGATAATGCTCTAGCACTATAGACTAGGGCATCCTAGTTTTTTCTATCTTAAAAAACTATTTCCTACCTTATTTAAAAGAATGGATTGTTCTCTTTTTCATTGTGAACATTGCATTTTGTCAAAAAGTCATAAAAATATTTATCCTTCAAAACTTTATCAACTTTCATAACCATTTTATTTAATTTATAGTGATGTTTGAGATCCTTCACGAATTCCTACTTATTCACGCAAAAATTAGTTTGTAACCTTCATTAATGATCATACTCAATTGTGTTAGGTATATTTAATGGCTGATGAATCTAAAGTTAAGACGATGTTCCAAAATTTTTATAACATGATTGAAACTCAATTTCAAACTAAAATTGATATTTTTCATACCGATAATTTTACTCGAGTATTTCAATTTCATTCTTGAAAACTTTTTTAGAGATAAGGACATTCATCATCAATCAACTTGAGTTGATACACTTCACCAAAATAGTACAGTTGAGTGAAAAAATCGACACTTATTGAAAGTGATCCGATCTCTTATGTTTTCCATGCATGTCCCTAAGTATCTCTACGAACAAGCCATTTTAACTGTAGCAATTTATCATTGATAAACAGAATGCCTACCTAACTACTTAAATTCATTACTCTTGAGTGCTTTAAAAATTTCTTCCCCGAAAACCTAATTTCATCCAATTTAAACCTTAAAATATTTAGGTGCATAGCTTATGTTCATTTACCCAATAAGGATCGGTCCAAGCTTGATCCAAGGGCTGAAAAATATGTTTTTATTGGCTATGCATCAAACCAAAAAGGGTACAATTTTTTTCATCTAAAGACCCGAAAAGTCCTAATAACTATGGATGTTTTATTTCTTGAAAATCAGCCTTATTTTCAAAAGAATTTTCTTTAGGGGGAAGAGTTTAGAGGAAGAAAATAGTTGGGACAACATACCTATTTTTACTACTTTACCTCAAACAGTATGGTAAATAATCCTAGGGTTATTGAAATTTCTCCTTTTCAATCACATCCTCAATTTTAGCTAAAATAAATGTTGCAACTATTTTCATCCTTAGGATTGAAAAGCTGAAATTTCAATCACATCCTCAATTAGCTAAAATAGATGTTTCAACTATTTTCAATCACATCCTCAATTTGAAACACTAGGAATTTTAACAGCATTAGGATTATTTACCACTAATTGAAGAAAATAGCTGAAATTTCTCCTTGTCAATCACATCCTCAATTTTAGCAGGATTCAATTTAAATGAAGAAAATAGTTGGGACAACATACCTATTTTTACTACTTTACCTCAAATACTAGGAAGAAAATAGTTGGAGGAAAAAATTAGTGTGACTAATGGCTAGGGTTTCTTGTTTATAAAAAATAGACCAGCTCCGATACCATGTAAACTAATATGAATAGGAAATATTGATTGTATTGTCATGTATTTACAGGTATTACAACTTACATATATATAGCGACATATAGTATCTAAATTAGAAAATTATAGCTATAAATCTTACTAAACTCTTTAATTGCAGCCTTGGATTCCTATATCTACAGCCAAGAATATACCCAGAATATTCTAAATAGCATATTTCTTATTCCGACAATAGCATATGTTCTTGGAGATTTTATGTTGCATATTTCCCCCTTCTATAGTTAAACTCTCTCTACTTATGACCATTAATGTTGTAAGTTCAGAATCTCAAATTGAATCCTGCTCAAATTGAGGATGTGATTGAAAAGGAGAAATTTCAGCGTTTGGTGGGCAAACTTATATATCTGTCATAAACTCGTTCCGATAGCATTTACGATAAGCATGATAAGTCAATTCATGCATGCACCAAGCCATGAGCACTTTGAAGCTGCTTATAGGATACTAAAGTACCTAAAAGGGACTCGTGGAAAGAATATGATGTTTCAAAAAGCGTGATCACTTTTAGGTGGAAATCTATACTGATACTGATTGGACTGATAGTGTGAAAGACAGGCGATCAATATCTGGATATTGTATATTTGTTGGAGAATATTTAGTTACTTGGAGAAATAAGAAGCAAAATGTTGTGGCATGAAGTAGTGCTAAAGCAGAATTTAGATCCCTTGCACAATGGATTTGCGAAGCTATGTGGATTAAGAAATTACTAGAAGAATTAAAGTTTCATGTATCACTTCCTATGAAAATTTATTGGGATAACAAAGCTACCATTTCAATTGCTCATAATTCGATTTGTAATTATCGGACTAAACATGTTGAAGTTGATAGGCACTATATCAAGGAGAAACTTGAAAGTGGGCTAATTTGTGTTCCTTATATTCTTACTTCTCAACAAGTGGCTAATATATTCATCAAAGGTCTACTGAAAAAACAATTTGATTTTTTAGTAAGCAAGCTAGCAATGGAAGACATTTACAAGCCAGCTTGAGGAAGTGTTAGAATAGGAAATATTCTATTTAGAATATTCAAGGTGTATTCTAGGCTATAAATATAGGAATCTAAAGCTCTAATCAAGATGTTTAGGAAGATTTATAGCTGTATTTTCCTAGCTTAGATGCTATATATATATATATATATATATATATATAAGTTGTAATAGCTGTAAATACGTGGCAATACAACCAATATTTCTTGTTCAGATCAGTTTATAGCTATCAATTGTAAAAGTTGACATCAGCAATATCAACTCTCCGACCATTAGATCCACATAAGGATAAGATCACTTACAAAGAGCAAACAAGCGCCTTCTAGCAAACCAATTTACTTAAGTTCCATCCAAATATGCAAATTCCACACCCACCTATCACTTCACACAATTGAAGGGCCCAACAGGATCTCAGACTGAAAACACAACCAAGTTTTTCGTCATCCCTAGTCATCCCCTATAAAATGGTCACAAGCAAATCCTACATTAGTACAATGCCCTAATTCCTAACCAAATCAATGGCTCAAATCCAATTACAGTCCACATCACTTAATAAGCCTTCTACACACAATTGAACCATAGCTTATCACATCCCCTTTGCACTGCAACAACGTTATCACTAACAATCAACTATGCTGCCTCTCTAACAGACAGAAACAAGTTGATAGAGTTTAATCTAAGCCTAGATCTATGTATTCCTTCTTTTTTTTCTTTTTTCTTTTTTTTCTTTTTTAACTACACAATAACATTACTTATCCTGTAAGTGTTGAACCCAAATAGAAACCAAAAGCATAAATCTTTAACAAAACCGCTTCAAACCTCAAAAAACAAACGAAACAACATCAATCCCAAATGGAGACATAGCCAAGAGGGTGAAAATGGGTTACCGAAATTGCGGCCAACAATGCAATGCCAAGTGGGTCCATGCTTCTTATCAAACTCCTTCTTTATATGCTCTGCTACATCCTTCTCTACATAATTCTTGTCAAATGCCTAAAAAAATAAAATAAAATAAAATAATCCAGAAAGGAAAAAAAAATACCCATTAAACAAATCAAAATATTAAACAGGAACCCAGTTTTAAAAAAATAAAAAAATATATAAAAGAAATTTAGTGAGAGAAAAGAGAGCTAACTGCGATGGCTATATCAATAGCTTCTTTTTGCATGTCATCTTTCATGTCAGCATTCTTGATGATGATCTTTTTTCCGGTGGGGGCTGCTGCAGCCGGCGATGATTTCCGGTAATAAGCGTCGTTGTCGACCTTTATACCTCCGGTGATACTTCTTTTTTGTCTTCACTGTTCATTTTTTGGCTTTGTAGTTAAGTTTTTTTTTTTCTTTTTTCTGTGGATAGAGAGGGGAACCTTTTAAAAGGATAAACGGAAAAGCAGAGTAGTAGTAAGATATAGCTGTTTACTTGTTAAATCTCAAGGGTAAACCGCGAAGTAAGTGACGCGAAGTGAAGTGAGTGAAAAATGTGGAATTTCTTCTACGTTTTAACTTTGGTTTAATGCTATATTAGCCCCTATACTCTTAAAATTGTTTTACGACGGCCCCTCTTGTTTTTATTTGTTGTTCCTATACTCATGAAAAAAAAAATCAATGTGGTTCCTGTGTCCCTCTTTCATCTTCCTTAATAAATTGGTCAAACCTCAAAGAGATACCCTTTAACTATATATTTAGTCTCAACTCTCAAGTTTACTATCAAAGAATTTTTATATTAATTTTATTCTTAAATTTTCAAAATTCTCAATTAAGAATTTTCATCCTAATTATATATATAAACGATGTCAAGGAACTTAACATTTTTTTGCTATGTTACTCTAACATAAATCTTCGTTGAAAAATCAAAATACTATGAAGATAAAATTGATGCAAAAAATAATTTAGATGTAAAATTAATACTATCCAATGGTTTGGAGATATATTTGAGATTTTTTCAAATTAATTCTTAACATTAAGAATATTTTTAGGTTAGATTGCATATTAAAAAAAAAGTTTAAATAAATTTTATTGAATATTGTTCCTAAAGTGTGAACTCAATAAGTTAAAAAATAACCAACTCCTTCAATTAAGTCAAATTTATTTGATATTTGTAATTTTTACTTCTGATCCTGTTTCAATGGAAATGACTTTTGATTGTTTATGGGAAGTGTTTTGAACAGTATATGGATGGTCACATCACTAAGGATGTGCGAAAGAATTTTTTGTTTTCTTTTTTGTTTTTCTTTTTTTAAGGTTTGATTTCCATTGTTTTCTTAAAAAAAAAAAAAAAGTTAGAATGATTAATAAATATATTTATATGTATAATAAAAAAAATCACAAAAGAACTGATGAAATAAATTAAAATACACTGATTCATTTTATCTCAAAAAGAAAAGCGACTCAAATTCTCGATTTTTAGAATGAAGACTAATTGGTTTCTCGCTCTACGTTGTGAGTCAAACTAAATATATTTATTATAGTATCGATTAACTAAAATATATTAAATTAAAAAATAAAATTTTATATAATTTTATAATTTTTTATCAAAATTTTGTATCATTTTTTAAATTTTATATTTAAAAAACACGATTTGTTCTTTCTTATAAATTTATTCTTAAATAAAAATCCATAATAATCTAAATATAAAATTTTAAAAAAATATATCTTAATATTTTTTTTCATAACATTGCATCGAAAAAATAAAGCAATAATTAATAAAAAAAACTTGTATAAAAATTAACAAATGAATTTTTTTATTCTCGTTTAATATTGATGAGAATAATATTTTTCTTAAAATATGTATATTTGATTTATATTTAATTATTTACAAAATAATGAATAATATTGGTATAAAAATAATATTTGTATTATTAGGTGGTTCTTCTAAAATATTATTTCAATTATTTTATTTAAAAAAAATAATTTTGAAATATTAAAAAAAGAAAAGAAAATAGTTAGTGCTATGTGCGTAAATTTATAGTTAATTTTTAATAAAATCATTTATTCTAATTCTTTTTTTATAAATCATGACCGCCCCACTTGGATCGAGTGTGTAGCATAAATCGAAAAATATTTTTTAAAAAAAATTAATTTGTAAAAAATATATTAAAGTTAGTAGAGAACAATAAAAAAAACTACAAAATTAATTTGGATAAAATTTGATTATATAAAGAATAAGTAAATAAAAGACATGAATTCTATTTTTAAAATTTTATTATATAAAGAATAAGCTAAAAAAAAACTAAAAAAACTTATTCGAAAATCCATGCATAGAAAAAATAAATCATATTTATTAAAAAATAAAATTACTTTAAAAAAATAAAAAATTAATTTTATGATAATTTTTTTTATAAAAAATGACAAGTTGAAGAGATCAATTTTAAATAATGAGAGTAATTTAATCCGATGCATATATGTTCATTTTAAATTTAAAAATATATCGTATATATTCCATGATCGTTAACTTTTGTGGAAAAAAAGATTGTTTTTTCATAATTTTCACAAGTAATTCAATAATAATAACAACAATAATAATAAATTGGTAGACAAAAAAAAAAAAAAAAAAGCAAAGGAAAAGAAACCAAAGAAAAAAAGAAGAATAAGAGGTAGGCTTGCGAGTCTAACTTTTGCAAGTCCAATGCAAGTTGCACGCTTGAGCATGCGAGCAGCCTAAAAGACCAAAACTTTCCTTTTAAACTTTCAAAAATCAAAATAAAATATGATATAAAATTTGAATGTAAATATCCAAAATAGCTTTAAAATCACAAAATGTCACCTTTTATCTACAATGCGTCCACGAGTGCCTTATAAGGGGTGAACAATAAAAATTACTATTTATTTTCCTCATTTCTTTTTATTGTTTTGGTTAATTTCCTTCACAACGAGAACAACTCTCTTGTTCCTTCCTTTTGAATACATAGATGGAAATCTTGTCCTAAGTGTCATCTTGAAGGTTGTTCAATCTAATACTTATATTCTTTTTTTTAAAAAAAAAAAAAAGGTTTTGAATTTTAATCTCTCTTTTAACACTTCAAAATTTCTTAAGAATTGAATAGAAACAACAACTCAATCAAAACATCGCATAGAATTATACATTTTAATTTGAAGAAGATAAATAAGCTAACATTACCGTTAACAATAAATTGACTTAAATTTGTATATTTGCATAGAAATTTAAGAAAAATCTACACATGTGTATAAGACAAATAACATTTTTTTTTCTTACTCCCCAAAGAAGGATTTGAGTCAAGCCTCCAATTTTAAGTAAAAAATCCAATTATATCTCGACCAAAATTTTAAAAAATATATATATATTATTTTATTTTGAAACTTCAACCTTAATTTACTTGTTTTTTTATAAGAATAAAAATGATTCCACATGAAATTTAGTCCGGTTAGGTGAAAGAAAATAAAAATAACATGGACCACTAGCTTGACCTAATTTTAAACCATACGAGTATAATTATGACATGATTTAAAAATAAACATGATTTTTTAAATTAAGTCCAAACCTAAAAATACTACTTTAAGGCTTGGGATTAAGTTGAAAGGCTCCTTTTCTTTTAACATGAAAATTTACTTATGGAAGTGCTAGGAAAGGAAATTGCAAACGAATTAATGCTCTTGAATTAAGATAGTTGAGCATTAAATGCTCTAAATATGAAATCAACCAAAATGAGCTTTTAAGGATCATGTATCCTATAGAGGTACGGAATAAATAAATAAATAAATTTCATCCAAGGGCCCAAGATCATGCCATTGAATCTATTAATCATACATGCATGAATAATAAGCTAAAAGTAAAGGATTACCTTTTGTAGCGCGAGATCTAAATTTTTTTCTTTGATTAGCCGCCCAAATGTCTAGCCTCTATTGATGATCCACGTAGCCCAAATATCCACAAAGAAGCACTCAAAAATGATAAGGTGCTAGCTCCACCTTTTTTTATTAAGTATTTCCTCTAGAAATCAATCCCAAGCAACTTTGTGATAACCATAAAGGAGAAGGTAAGAGTATTTCTTACTAGGATTTTAGGAGAAAACTATTTTCTCTCTTTTTTCTCTCTTGGCCGTGTGCCCTTAATTATCTTAGGGGCTGGTCGAATTTTTCTCTTTTAATTTTACTTGGCCAAAAATACTCTTTTTAGGTCATCCATCCTTTATGCCACATATCTCCTCCTATTTATAGGGGAAGAGATTCCTTGTCCTCTAAGGACAAATAGAGGGGTGGCCATGAGTCCATAAAGGACTCTAGGTTGTTATTCCATTATCCTCCAAGGATGAAGAGTTATTTTATATGTGGACTATTTGATTATTATCTTTAAAACATTCAACCTTATCCAATAAGGTTACTTTTTATCTTTAAAACATTCATCTTTATCCAATAAGGTTGATGTTTATCCTCCCACCAAAATTATCTTAAGGCTTTTAATTAAACCTAATAGGCCAAAACTATTTTAGCCCAATTAATTTATTTGGACTATCTAAATAAATATTCTTAGATTATTTTGATGAGGTCTATATTAGAAAATAATTTTTTAAAATACTCTTTAACCTAAATTAGGAAACTCCTTTCCTTTTAGGTTCTTTATTTCCAAATTAGAAAACCGATTTCTAAAATAGGAAACTTTCCATTTTAAGAGACTTTTCATTTTAGGAAACTTTCCATTTTGGAAACTCTTTCCAAAATAGGAAACTTTCATAATTGAAAACTTTTTCCAATATCTTTGCTTCTCATTTGTAATGTAAATACTTGAACTTATGCGTGTGACTTAATATGCTCCTAGATATGTTGGCAATGTATCAAGAATAAAAGACTCCTCCTTCATCTCTTGATACATAAATCAAGATTGGCCTCTAGCAAGGCATCATGACTATCCAATTCTCTAGGAGGATTAGTTAATCCATTATTACCTTTCACGAGCATAGTTACCATGCAATTCAGTCCCCATGTCAACTTATTATAGTATGATCTCAAAGTTAATTATTAGTCTTGTTTGATTATAATCACATAAGTTTTCTTCGATTCCCAAATGTCTTAGCTCTTAAAGTAAACCAACAATGCTCTATTAGTGTACTCCTACCGTGACCACAGATTTATTAAGGAGCATTTATCGAAATACAATGTGATAACTCCTTTAGCATATAAGGAATGACATGTCCTATCTTAGTCATACACCTATCTTCATTGGATTCCTAGTGCACCCAACGAATTGCCCATATGCAACCCATTAATGGGTCTATCGAAACGAGTGTCAAAGTGTATAAGTCCTCCAATG